GCCCATGTGAAAAGGTATATGACATATGCTGTGAGAAAGATAGAACCACCCATTAGAAACCCATTTTCTGGTCATGGAAGAATCCTGAAAATAGAAAACTAAAGTGCTTTCTTTTTGTGTGCTCTACTTTTTCAAATAAAAAAATGAAATTGTAGGATGGCCAAATTACAGAATCCACCAAAAATGAGAGATTTATATATAAATGTCTCGGTCTTTTCAGATAGTTTGACACAACAGTGACGGTGAGGCACATCACACCTGTGGGCTTTCCAGCCATGGAAAAACGCTTTGATAGATCCTAAAAGACACTCCATCCATTCAGCACGCTGGCAGCCGTCATTATTCTCGAAAGAATCGACTTTGTCACTTCTCCATTCTTCAAGAGCCTCTCCCTCGGCCTGATGAATTATGTTGTCTGTATCTTCCAAAACAAGGCTCATTCCTGACAGGTACACAACACTTTACAAGATGGTTTTGACTGCCTGCAGATCTCAGCGGGGACAAACGTGTCAACAAGCAATCGGATTGAACTCTGTCCATGATGAGGTGTCTCGGGTGATTTTAAACCTTCAGCTTCTCTTCAAATCCACTATTGAGGCTCAATGTTTTTACAAAAATTTAAGGTGCTATATTGTTTTGCTGTCAGAGTGGCTGCAGCAGAAATGAATGAATCTGCCACCTCAGGTAGATTTATTTATGGGAGAAACTTGTGGTGTCAGTTCTGATCGATGCCTTACAACATCAAGGTAGAGACATCATCTGGTTTGAAATGATCGTTTATACTAATAAAAAATATAACACTGAGTTTATTATTTTTAATAAACTTCTCTGGAAGTGTTTAAACTACAATTTACATATTAATTGTGTTTTTTGTTGAAATATTATTTACATTGTTATTGTTTTTTATTTCTTTCTTTCACACCCACTGAACCCCCAACCACTAACTTCTGAAAACAAACACATGTTCTTGCTTACAGCTGTAAAATGAACCAACTTTCTGCAATGGCTTACATCAAAGCAACAGCACACTGTCCAGTTCAGCACTGTCTGGATTTTTCTAGATACTCTTCGTCCATCAGGTGTGCACATGTGTTCTGAAAGCGAGGTCTTGTCATACAGAGCTGTCATCAACAGAAGGTTACCCAGAAAGCAGCGAGGGGGGACAAGAGAGGACGAGGTTAATTCACCGAGTCCTTGCTGTCGGCATGAGTACACATGATATGCATGTCACAAGGATTCAAACACTGCCCGCGCCGTCGTGTGCATCTCGCTGACACGTAATACTTCATGGATGTACAGATGTTTCTACTCAGTAGCAGAACAGCTTACTGCGACTCCCAGCCTTCCATTTTGATTATTATAAATGGGTAACAGGCTACATCACGATGCCTCTTGTCATAAACACCCTTTTGTTTAACACCAGATTCGTGCTGCTGTCTTGTGAGCCTCTGTTCGCCTGGTAATGGTGATGACATGGAGCCAATTTATTATGTGTTTGCTTTAAAGCAAACAAGAGTCATGAAAGAACAAACAGAACATTGACTGCCTGACAAAGTCATATGTGGAGCTTTTGTATCTGTTGTGACAAGCCAAAGATGGTTTGTTGTAGAGATCATGTATGAAAACATCGGTGCTCCATGTTTACAACTTCTTAATAAATGTATTGACTGAATGATCTGAATGGGACATCTCACAGCAGTTAGTCTACTCAGGCAGCATAGATTAGAGGTATTGAAGCAATGGTCTCCACTGCCTGATTATTAAGGTAAAAAAAAAAGAAGTTGTAAAAGAGGCTTGGAATTAATTCACAAATCTAGTATTGATATTAATTCACAGACAAGTTCAATATTACTCTGAACATATGCAGTAGCTGGTAAGGTGTATTGAATCTTACTTTATTGAATAGAAGACATTAGAAAATTATCAAACCTATTTTATTTAAATGAAAGCCTCGACATTTTGACCAGAAAACTAAATGATTGATTTAAAAAATTAAATAAGAATAAACATAATTTCCAAACAGACAAATTCCAAGGTCAAATCTGGATCACGTCATTTGCTTCACTAACTGGTTTTACTGCAAAATCCAAACACCACATCAATTGCATTAGTGACTTATTAAACGCTACATGCAAAAAAGTAAACTGGAAAAGTGGAATGCATCGTCTTCCTGGTTTTAGACATTAGTTAACTTTGTATGCAGTATGCTCCTGCACGTTGTCATGCTTTATATGTGACTTTTATTGTATGTGACTCTTCTCTGTATTTCTCACAAGTACTTCTTATGTTTCCCCTCCACACAGAGCATGCTGCAAGGCACTGGGACTCTATTGTTTCTTGGGGAAAATGCCTCAGGCTAGTGTTCAAGAGCTGCGTGGGGTGGGTGCATGTCGACTTAAATACCTTCAGTGGAGACATGCCATGGCCTCTTTTATCAGGTGTCTCACTAGCTGAACTATAAAGCTTAGCTCTACGTTAAACCATAAAGTCAAATCCCGATTTTTTATGACAATGTTGTATTCACTTTTTTTTTTCTAAAAGGGATTATGACTCTATTTGAAATTGCTCATACACATTCACTGATGTGGTGTTCATCATGGGCTCTGAATTGAAAAAAACTCACATTCATTTAACAATATATTCAAATGTGTCATACTAACAAGGTGCAATGTTGCAAAAGGAATATGCAAAAGATGCTCAAAGTTGTACTCACAAGCTTCCAGGTTTCATTAGAAAATATGTGCTGAGTTTTTATTCAGGGGGATGTTATTTTGACCGTCTTGCTACCAGCCAGTTGGACAGTTAGACCTCAGTGAAAAATGACACACCAGTAAATGGCCTATTCATTAATCCAGCAGGCCCTGTCTGCTGTATAAACTTCACAGGTGTCTTTCACAGTGGATTACCGTGTCAGGACCACATTGACATAAAGACTTAGACTGAAGAGGTTATACTTAAAAGGCCATTTCACCTATTTTACACATAAAATCAGTTTACTTGTCACAAGGAGTACAACTGACAACATTTGTGTAGTGTTTTAGTGACACTTGAGTCAAACGTTGATGACATCATAGTGATGTCATCAGAGTTATCTCAGTTTGGGCTTGAGACAAAGTTTTCAACATAAAGTCTGAATACTTAGAGACTGGACATGCTGGCTATGAAAGACGTAGGCATTTAGGAGTAGGAACAGTCTAATCAAAGGTGCTATTTAGTGGCATTGTGAGAAATGTAGGATTAGTGTTTTTGGAGCTTGACTCTTATTAGGGACTTAAAAGTCAGGATATGTCAGCCTCTGCTACTTCACTTTTGACAACTTTTTGTGCCCCAAATTTATGGAAAGACAATGCTTTATCGCTGATTTAAGCACAACTAAGTCTCAGTGAAACACATCGCTTCTGAGCAACAGGAGAAAGAAAAAGTGTAATGCAGAGGAGCAATGCAAATTTTTAAGAATTTTAAATAAAAAGAGAAGGCATGATACTAAATAATAATTACGACTGAAAAAGTAGTCATGCAATAAACTGACTGTGATGCACATGACAACTTTTAGTGACAATGTTGTTTCTGGGTTTAAATTGACAATATGCATGTACATATAAGGCCTTTGCTAGTTAGATAATGTTAATTGTATTTGTCATCCGAGAGACTTTCATTTCATTCTTTTGAGGTCTGAGCTGGCTCACCACCCTCCCTCCACAGCTCTGATTCAATAGCACAGCAGTGGACACAAAACCTGCAGTCTGCTTCCCCCATTCAGCCTCCTATCATTAACAAAGCAATGAGAGAGTCCATTCTGGATAGAACTGCTGTCATCCTCACCCAGGGGACTCAAGCTCTGTCTGGCACCTGAGGACAGTGAGCCTGTAGCCACATCACGGTCAGAGATCTTGACCCTGCAGGGTGATTGACAATGGAGGATCCTTGAAACCTGTTGCAGGGGACAGTGTTTCATACAGACTCTGGTTCTTATGGCCGTTGCTCAGAGTTAGAAGAGTGGTGGCTCACAGTGGGAAAGCTGCTGCTCCTTCAGTGGGACCTGGAAATGCTCCAGAGTGTGCTACAGCAAGTCCCCTTTCAGGACCAAAATTTAGAGGATTTGATGTGGCTGCCACCGTGTTTGTCCCAGTAACGTCAGCCAAGACGATGGCTCTGTTGGTGCACAAGAATCCAGACTGAATGTATCTGTTAGGAAAGGGAGAAAGTGTTGCTATCTGAGTTGTTCAAACTGGGCCCCTTTGAGCCCCCAGTGCCCCTGGGAGGATGAGAAGGAGTTCATTTATTTTACACAAATTCAGCAGAAGTCAGAGCAGCTGTTTGTCTGCCTTAAGCTGGAGTACCATGTTGCCTGTCAGAGTGCTGTCAAAATCCAGGCTGTCAAACTGGATGATATTCATGGTCCCGACAGCAGATGGCTGGATGGACATTTCAGGACAGGGGAGCTCTCTACCTTCAGTATGGTGATCACTTAAATGGGATGCTTAAACTGGGATTTACTTCATTTGCTGTTTGTGCTACAGCTGGCACCCTAAAGTCAGAGCTATGTCAGTTTCCAACAAATCTAAGAAGCACCAGTGCTCCACACATCCTTGATAAAGTAGAGGGTATTTCCCCAATTTTCTCCAACCTCTATATTGTAACCAAAATTTAAGTTTACCAACCAACCAGCTGTGCTCCCAGATGGTGCTTAAACCCCTTTCCATACAGAAAATATAAGTTTGAAATGATTTTGATGTGAATTATCGAGCTGCATTTTACAACTTACTAAACTTGTTTTGATATTTTGGACTGTGTTAAAAATCTTCTAAAGTTAGAAAATGTTTGTAAACCTCAAAATGAACATCCATAAAAAGACAACAGAACAAAAATTAATGAAAAAATATTGGCACGAGTTTATAGTATGATATTGTGTTTCAAGTGCAATCTGGACTTTCTCATTCTCTCAAAATCACTCAAACAACACTACAGTTAATCCAGGACATGGAGTTTATTTTACAACTGAGGATAAAAGAATGCCATTTTGAATAACTGGGTCGATGACAAAACCTGGAAATCTATCATTGCGTGAGATTTTTTTTTTTTCAATGTTATGTACAATACCATGCATCAGAGCAGATGCCAGTAAAATTCTGTCATTTTATGTAAACCACATTGAAGGACCTACTTTTCACTGAAAAAGGGCATTGCGGTCCAACAATATTCTGTAGCTATATACATTTTCCCCCATATTTGTCTAGAAAATAACATTATAAAAATGCACACAGTACAAATAATGTTGAACTGTAAAGAGCAAGATATGCTGACATACATGTATACATACTTGCTGATTATTCATACAATAAGTTTTAAACTTCATTAATTTTACAACTGTAGCTTCACAATAATAAAACTGGTAGCCTACTAACGCAAATACTGTACATGTTGAAACAACCAGGAAATTATATTTTACTAGAGAAACAAAGATTCTTGACATTTTGTGAGAATTTTTGTAATTTAATGGCATATACAAAACAATATCATCGTTAGTCCTCAAATTGCCATGTTGATCAAGGAAATTAAAACTCAAAATGGTGATGTGCTGTATTTTTTTCCCCATACATGTCTTCATCAATTTACACTTCCTTAAAGTGCTGAAATCATCTTAACATTTTAGAACACCTTCTTTCACATGGCTAACTTCATAACCATGTACCTTCATATAAATGTCTGTATCCGAAATTTGCTAACCAGGGATATTAGTTTTGTCATCATGGTTTAAATTTCATTAGACATAATATGTTCACTGCTTTACATAAAAAAAAAACATGCACAAACTGTCTCATAAATAATATGCAAGTTGTGTTGAAATATATTCATCTTAAAAACAGTGATCAAAATAAGAGCATGGTCCAGTTTTAAAACAACCAAAGGCTCAGATAAGATGCAGTGCATTATGAAAGCAACAATCAGTCAGTGACTACATAGTGCCATGGCTGCTGCACCATTTTGGTACATTTATGTCACCAAAAGATCGACTTTTACAACACAGCTTTGAGCGTCTGCATTGCAAGCTCCTGCCATTTATAGATAATTGAATAATTAATGTGGTATTAAAGCTACCATGTTTTCATTATAATATACGTCGCAGCAATGGACAATACAGTTGTGGCACTATCTGTAATGACAGATTGTAGCTTAAGAGTTATAGTGCAACAGTAATCCGTCATGCTGTCAGCTTTATCTGACTTCATTGTTTGTCAAACTTTTCCAACTCTTTCACAAAGATGAGATGGTCCTCTGGGGACTTTCCATGTGTTTTGCAAAGGTGCAATTTAATTGCATGTTTGCTCACAAATGTCCGATTGCACAGTTTGCACTGATACATCGAGCCTGTGTCTTCTTCTGTGAGTCCAGAGGAACTGAAAGTCTTGTCCTCTATTCTGCTGACTGCTTGCTGCTCTATTAAGTCTATGGATAGCTTTGACAGGTCCTTCAGGGTAAACCCAAGATGGGACTCCAAATGGTGAATGTAGGAAGACGGAGTCCTGAACTGGGATGCACAGTCACTGCACAAAAACAGAGGCTGGCCAGAGTCAATATTTTTTAGGAACTTTGTGCCCCCTGTCCGCTTTAACTGGTATTTTACATTAGCCAGCCAATGAGAGATAGTAGTCATGGAGAGACCAGTGAATTTACAGATGTGGACCCGCTCCTGGGGTCCCAAGTCACTAATTACAAACTTTCCCTCAGGAGTCTCCCTAAGACTGGAGGCAAACTGGGCCTGGAGAATCAGGAGGTGCTGAGGATTCCAGTTTGACTGTCTGCCTTTCCGTCTTTGGATGGGAGACAACTCCTCCAAGCCATCCTCAAAAGTACAGCTATCGATGTCTGACTTCTCAGAGATGGAAGATGGGGTTGTAGACTTTGGTGTCAAACGGCCAGTCAGGTTTTTCACCATGTCTGAAATATCCATCAAAGCATTCTCCCGCAGGGGTGGAGATGAAGACTGAGAGAACGCTCTGAAAACTGGTTTGCTGTTGGTAATGTTGTTACTGTTGTTTGGTGTGGCAGAAGTACCCTTAGCTGCACCTCCATTAGTGTTTTTGGATTTCGTCAAGTCCATGGGCTGATCATCATCGTCATCGTGGTACTGACTTACAGGCTCTGGCGACTTAATCTGGGCAGAGCTGCTGTTGATTTTATATAGCATTGCAAAGGGGTCTATGAAGGGGGTGGCCACTTTTGCAGCTTTCCCCAAGTGGTTGTTCATGATAGACTGCAAAGCACTGAGAGGGTTGACAAGTGGTTGTTCAGGCGAGTGATCAGTGATGATGCTCAGGTTATTGCAGCCATTGCTTACAGGCTTTTGTGGTGAATCAACTTCACTCTTAATCTGTGTCTCTACTTTACTCTCTGCCTGCTCTCCCTCTCTGTCTCTTGACTCAGTCTGGTCCTCTGCTGCATTATTTTTTACTGCTTTTGAGAGATTTTCTGGATTGGGTGAACCTCGCTTGTCCTTAGGATTTGGCAGCGGTGACTTTGCGGACCTGCACTTATTCTCTACAGGTTTTTCTTCTTTTTCAGTCTTTACTGAACTTTTCCCTGTTACTTTTTCCACTAGCTCCTCCATGGCCAGCACATTGCTCTTGTGACTTGGAGGGGGAGAGGGGCTATTTGGTGAATGGATCAGAGTACCTAAATCAGAGGGCAGCACCTTCAAACTGTTGCTGCTGAACAAAGGCTGAACCTGTGCACATGAGGGCAAGGTAGACTTCAAAGATCCATGGAGCTGATAGGCAGCGTGAATGCTGGGGTATCCACCCCAGGTTGGCGTGCCTGTTTGGGCCTTGCTGATTGCACTTGAAACTGTATTTTCTAAAGACTTTAGGATGTCCAAGCCACCTTTAGGTGTCTCTTCCAAGTCTTCTTCTCTCAGATATTGGTAAGATTTGGCCTTTCCAGGTTTATCAGCTTTTTCAGGGGGATCTTCTTTCTCCTCTTTAATTTTTTTCTCTGGTTCCATTAGATCCATTCTCTCTTCTTCCATCTCTTCATCTTTCCTTTCTTCATTTTTCTCCTCAGGGCTAGACGGCTGCAATGGGGAGTCAGGTTGTGACTTCCCATTGGGTGCTGGGAGTCGTGTGGTAGTTGGTGGCAGAGGAATCGACTGAATTTTCTCCTCAATGACAGGATCAAAAACTAACTGCTTACCCTTTTTAGAGGCAGAATTTGTGACTTTAAGAAAGTGTCCTGTGACCATCATGTGGGCTGTCAGTTGTTGCAAGGTATCATGTGAACTGCCACATTCCATGCATTTAAGAATTTGTGCCTTGCGTGCCTCAAACTGCCAAGTATAGCTTGCACCGTTTTGGTAACCATATCGATTGTTAGGAGTGACATAGGGATTGGTCAGTTTTTGGTCTTTAGGAGACTCTCCCAGGACGATGCCAGATGAGACCGACTCTGGTGAGCTTGGGGAAATCAAGTCTTGAAATGCTCTTTTTTTGGTTGGGGGTACCAGCTTTGAGGCGAGGGCTGGCATTGGTTCTTTTAGAGGCACTTTCTGATAGTGTTTTGTTTTGATCATGTGAACACTAAGATCTTGCAAAGATTCAAAAGAGTGGCCACAGTACATGCATTTAAGAACTTTCTGGGCATCTTCCTTGCCTTCCATCTCCAACAGGGAACGCTTGCGTGGCTTTGACCACTTCTTGCTTCGATCATCCTCGGTATCCTTATTGTCATCACGGTAGTGGCCTGTCTCGTTCATATGTACCGTCAGGCCAACCAAAGTGTCATAGGCTGCACTACAGTCCTTGCACCTGAACTTGCTAGCACCAGTAAACACCGGCCCATAGAGCTTATTGTTTTGTCTGTAAAGCTGTACGGTGCTGAAAAGGCTAGGCTCAGGAAGGAGTTGGTATGGAGTATGCTGTAGGGTTTTGGCCAACGCTGCCTGGTGCCAGTCATACGCTAAACCTCCTGTGCTGCCAGAGCTTACACTAGTGCCAGTGTTGTTGCTGCTTGACACTGTTTTTGTGGTGGTACTGCTGGTGGTAATATTAGTAGTGGCTGAGGCGTTGCTACTGCTACATCTGCTCTTCACATGGATGTTACCTGGGCTATGACTGTTCATGAACCCATTGCTCCCTTTGTGATTGCTCCCATTGCCATTGCTAGCTGCAAAATTGTTCCCTTGCTTACTTTTAAGCATGTCCAGAGCAATGCTGGACCAGGAGGCATCCGAGATCAGGTTTGCATAGACGGCTTTCATTTTTGCCAGACTGTCCTGTAGTGAGAGGCCATTAATGGACTCTGTGCTCTCCCCTAGCTTCTCCTCTACCTTGTCTTGACCATCACTAAAGGAGGATGTGGTCTTAAGGTCCACCAGTTGGTCACTGGTGGTGCTGAGTGGAGAGGCATACCCAGCGTCTGGGTTAGTGCCATTGCTGAGTGGAGAGTTTTGGCAGCTAAAGCGATCTCTTCCGTCCTCGTCCTCATTGAACAAATAGTCTGCGTCTTGACCGTCCAGAGAGAGGCCATCATCCTGCAGATGTTCCTCTTCATCAATCTTGTCCAATTTAAATTCGTCCTCAGGTCCATAAGCTGGAAAACAAAACAGAGGAGAAATGTGACATTAGACATTTTTCTACATACATATTTTTTTTTTACATATTAGAATGACACAACTTATGTATCTACCAGCCATTACTATATGAAGATGGTATGTGCAATAATCCTGAAGAGATTTTTGTCAATAGTCCCAGCAGAGGACACAGGTTTGCAATAATAAAGTGGCAAACATCCATATCTTGACAATGACAGATAGTCCTCTTCACCGCACTGCATAATGAAGCTATTGAAGACTACAGCTCAGCAAGGGTAGAGAACAGAGATGAGCAACAGAAATGTTTCTGCTTCGTTTAAAAACAAGCAAATTTTCAAATTACACAGAGAGCAAATCTTCAGCGTTGATGATACTTATTAATCATGTGGTAAGATCTGTTACTTCCCAGTACAAATGAAGACATTTTTTCTTTTCAATTACAAAAAAAAATAACAGAAAAAAGGAAAAGTATGCCTCATTGATTGATCTGTTAAAGACTCACTTTGATGTTTCCTTCTCAACACATACAGAGTGGTAACACTGAATTAATAAGATGAATTTACTAGCTACATATGTGCAAGCATTTCAGTACATCAAATATAAATCCTTTTTCCTCATCAGCAATTTGAAATGCTAGAACAGCCTACAGCCATATAGTCAGTAGTCAGTATTTCGCAGTTTATATTGCAGCTGAAGTGAGACTATAGATCTGTTCCTTACTTTGATTTGCTCTATTCTTCCAACATGCCACACATACTATAGATTCACAAGTAAGAGATAGTGGAGGAAAATGCCAGCTGCATCAGCCTTGCCAAGCCATGGTTGGCTGGAGTCAACTTGGCATCGGCTGTAGAAGTCCTCACAGCGTGATGCTAGGAAACGGCCAGTGGACATGACAAGCCGTGTTGTTACTGCCTGTGCTCCCTGAGTACTCACAGCGTCAAGTGTGCCATTTTAACAGAAGAGAGAGAGGTTTATAGTATCACTGGAAAATGGCTGCCTTCTCTCTCTATGAAACAGTCGAAGATTTTCACAAATCATTTCAGGCCAAATTCTGTACTGAAATTAATTTAAAATTCAGAGATGTCAAAGATTAAAAATGATGAAAAATAACAATGAACTGGAGCCTGAAAATAGTAAAAAGAAGAGAATGCTTCGATCTTGGAAACAGATTAAAATGGGAATATTACAGAGAAGCAGCAAGAGGGAAAAATAGAGGGTTAAATATGCTAAGGCAGCTCCCCCAATCCATCCCTCGTAAGATGCTTGTCTGAGGTGCCAGAATCAGTCTCCAGTGAGGAGGCAGATGTGCTGTCAGCTTCAAACAGCATGTAGCTCTCTATCCCATAATAGGAATGGACATAATACCTGATGTTTGTGAGGTGCCGGTTACTGCTGCCTTGAAAAAGCTGGAGGTCCAACAGCTGCAACTCTCTGCCTTATATGTGTGTGAATGTATGTGTGTGTGTGTGCGTGTGTGCATGAGAGAGAGAGAGTGAATGTACAACCTTCCTCTAGTTAATTAAACTATTCCTGTGCTAGTTTTGCTCTTAAGTGCATGCTCTTAATTATACACAGGCTACACTGAAATCATTCACTTGAGTTAGTCAGTAAATTAGGAGATTTTAACCTTTTGCCAAAGCAGCTGTAAAGCTTTCTTTCAACCTGTCTTCCTCCTCCCAATCAAGATGCAGCCCACTGTATTGAAATAAATGCAAAACTGAACCTATTCAAAGTCAATGTGGTGAGAGTAGTTAAAGACAAAGCAGCTGAGCTGACAAAGTGAGAGAAACCTGACAGCAGTACAAACACACACACATTCACACACAAGAAGCGCACTAACACTAAATTCTAGCTTTTCCCTGCCATCCTCCGTATGCTGCCTTGACAGGCATCAGTGTCAGGAGTGTGTCAGTGTCAGCTTGAGGTGTCAGTGTCCACGCAAACAAGCCTGAGAGGAGGTGGGAGGGGAAAGTAACAACAACAAACACAAGTCAGCCATTTTTCCCCCCCTGCTCGAGCCTCCTCCTTCACCATCTGTGTCAGAAAAGCTGCGGGTGCCACCGCCGGCTAATAAGGCAATCAGAGATGGAAAAGATGCTGACACGGCGGCTTTCGAGCGTCACTCAGAACAAAAGAGGGAGAGGAGAGGGAGGGAGAGAGGGATAGGGAGGGGATTAAAACGAGGGTGGAGGGAAGGAGTGGGGGGGAGAGGTGTCTGTTGTGGTTGTCAGTCAAAAACGTAAGCCCACTTTGTGCTGTCAGGGAGGATAGGGAAAAGAGGGGAAGTTTTGAAAAGAGAGGAGAAAAGATGTGTTTAGGCCAGTGAACAAGAGGTGTGTGTGTGTGTGTGTGTGTGTGTGTGTGCGTGTGTGTGTACGTGTGCATATCTGATAGAAAAAAACATGATAGGGAAACAAGTTAACCAGTATGCAACAAACTAAGTATGAGATAATGGGAGAAAGAAATCAGTTAAATTTCTACCACGTGTGTGCAAGTTTGTATGTGTGTGTGTAAGCTAGGTGTGGCTGATCAGTTGTGTGTGTGTCTGTGTGTGTGTGTGTGTCAAGTGTCACAGTGTGTCAGGTGCAAGCAGATATGCACTGTGGCTGGTGGGGGGAAAGCGAAGCCATCTGCGTCTGGAGAGGAGCCTGTCACTATTGTTGTGCCCAGAGTCCAGGATTTCCTGCTGCAGACAGGTGACACCACAGTAGGACATCCCCCAGTCCACACACGAACAAACACAAGTAGCATGGCACGCACGCACGCACGCCACGACACCATACACACACATAACTAATACACACACATACACATACACATACACACACACACATCACACACACACACACCACACACACACACACACACACACACACACACACAAACATCCCTCCCCCAAGGCAGGAAGCTGTGTGAGGTCCATACATGCAAACACTCGCACAACACTTTTTATACAGGTTTGAATTATCAAATGTGACTGAGGTGAGAAGTGAGAAAATTCTGAAGAAAAATCTTGCCACTAGAAAAAAAAAAGCAACACACATGCATTGATAACACAAACATGTACACATGCCTGCATACTGAACCTCAATGCTGTTTAGACTGCAGTAGAAATGTGTCTGTGGCACTGAGTATTGGACACTATCAAGTGTAAAAGCTGGTATTGAAAGCCTGCTCACATTCATAGTCTTATTTTCTTATTTGCTGATTTAATAATACACTGCACTCCCCTTCCCTATCTTAGCCTGGACACACACATATGTATTACAACTGTGCCTCAGTGAGCAAATCAGTGGAAAAAAAAATTGAAACAGAGAATTGTAAATTATTTTTCAATTCAAACTTACATTAAGTAGAACTTGACTGCCAACAAGCAAAAAATATTCCTGTATGTCTTTATTATAGTGACAAATCCAGCGACACCTGGTTGGTGTCAGACCTACTGACCAGTTCGAAGCAATAACCTGAGACAGGGTGAGACAACTCGAGTATGACATGGCACTGTCGCAATCAACACACCTATCCTCCTACACCCCTCTCTCTCTTTCGTACACGCCCGCACACACAAAACACACACTTTCCCCTCTAAACCTTCTTCATTTATTCATGTTGTCTCTGAGAAGAGGGCAATCCCGGCTCTCATTTGCAGTGCTAATGTCCAATTCCGCCAGCTTTCACCCTGCTGATTTACCCTGCGTGGCCGAGCGCTGCATTGGGAGCGGGGCGGCCGGCGAGGCTCCCTCACACCGTTTAGCGACCCTTCAAAATGGGAGCTCTGGCGTGGCAGTCTTATTTCTCTCTCCCGTTTCGCTTTGTCACTGGCCCCTCTATTCCCTGCCACTCACCTCTGATGGCTTTGGACAGGCCTGATCAGTGTGTGTCATTGACCTGTACGGCGTGCATGAGTGTGTGTGTGTTTCAGCAGAGAGAAGGCTGTAAATAAAATGACATTATTATTTCCTCTGTCCTATCATGTAGAAAAGCCAATTATGGTAATGCTTAGTATGTCAGGCAATCTCTGTCTCTCTCTGCTCTCCCCCCGTCGTCTTCATTCTTGCTCTTTTTCTTTCACTCTGGGATAGTTGTGGCTGTGGTTTCATAGGACCTGACACTCTCGTTGGACTGTTGTTTGGACGACACACACTGAGAAATACTGGCACAGACCAACAGTCTCCTCACAGTCTGAAGACAACTAAGGACTAAAAGAGCTTCTCATACAATTCCACATTAAGAGTTAGAGAAATCCAAAACATTACAAAATTAAGTAAGTTAGTTAAACATAAAACTCTTTCCTTCAATCTGGATTTCTTCTGTGACTGAAAATCTGCCAAGATCCCTCCCACAGTTTCTACCTCCTCTAAAACCATTTTATTTTGTTGCTCAAATTGAGCAGAGAAACTTTTTAGGGGTTAAATTCAAAGTGCGTGTTTTGCATCGCCACTGCATCCCAAAACACTACAAAGCTTCACAGATGAGTGTTGCCACGGATACCATGTATTAGCCATAATGTATTAGCCATAATTTCACCTGCAGCCTGCTTGACCAGACATATAAAAGCCTACCTAACAGCCCCCTGGCCCCACCCTCTGCAACCCACATGGAATAGACCACCATATGGCACAATAGCTCCGGGGCTTCTAATAGCTTGTGTGTCGTACAAATCCACCTTCTCATCTTCCTCA